ATCTTTTTATTATTTAATAATGTCTTTTTAATAAAGTCCTTTTATAAATGATCACATTCATGACATTAAAAAAAATCACTTTTGCTCAAAATGCAAAAGAACGTACCAGGATTATTTGCTGACTTCCCATGCTGGATCTCCAGTAATATATTCAGAAAATTAACCTTTGTTATGTCTTCCTTTTATATTGCATCTGCCTTGCAACTCTCTTTCCAGATTCTATGTATGGCTTCTAGCTGATGTTGTATTCTTTGATCTCTTTTTGTATTTTTTTTATTCTCACTGGTGGTGTTTTCCTCTTTGGAACAAGTTTTGCACAAGTTGAGCTTTGAAGGCAGCTATCGAGACCTCATATTAAGTATTTAGCAATGCTGTCTCCTTTTCAGCATGTGTCTGTCTTCAATCAAGTAAGGCACATTTTCCCAGACTAAAGACTTTCTAGCGCTTCAAGTAACCCTTTATGTTTGTTATACTGTGTCAAAATTTGGAGGATAATTCTATATTCACCAATTTAATCTCAATGGTCATTTTAAATGCTTTGTACAACCTGGGGTACATTTTCCTCTTGATCCAGAAATTCAGATTGCTGAATTATTAAAAAACATTTAATAAGCATGTCAGAAACTTTTTTTTATGTTTTTAATCCCATGAAAGTACACTGTATCCCCAATTTTAAAGTAAGCATTTTGATGGAGGATTTTTATAAGATGTGAACTTTTGGCAGGCTACAAGTACAGTCCATGGTATCCCCTAGAACTGTTGATTTTGTTGGTGATGCACATCACCACATCACAGTGAGTTGATATGTTGGAATGCTGTAGATGTTATTATGTTTGTTTAATTTTATGTGTTCCACTGCAAAGGGGCATTGAAGTTGTTAAACCCTTTCAGACCAGAGAAACAACATGTAATTTAGTTGCAGCAGCCACTCATAAGCAATTTAGATAGATTACACTATACTTATATCACACTATAGTATATTGTAGATTACATGAAAAAGGTGGTCACATCAAAACTTTCCTGCCGTCAATAAATATAATTTGTAAACTCTACACTGGTACCTTCTGCTTTTCTGGTTTGCCACTGATCGAATCTCCGGTTATACATTTCAATTTAAACATAAAGTCTGTTAGCTTCCAGTTAGGGAAATGCAGATAACTTTTTTTTAATTGTTTTAAGTCGAAAGCTATAGGCATCTTGATCCACTTTTCTTGGTACTGATAATCTTAAAAGTGTTTTAATATAAAATATAACAGGAGGTTTTCTTAAAGCTGAAAGGCTGAGTTTGGGATTTCTGTGTTATGAATTCCCTTTAGCACTTCTCTGGAACTGCTGCATGCAAGAAGTAGATTATACTAAAACCTGTTTTAGGGGAGAAAACCTAAATCGTCAGCATTATTATCAGCAATCCGAGGGATTGTAGTATTTCAGGGAATCCTTAAGGCTCTAGAAAAACCCTTGGGGTTCCATTGGGATTTTCTTCCCATGCTTCATCAGAACACTGAATATGTATCTCATCAGATGTAAAGGGCAGAGTTATATTTCCTGTTTGACTGTTTTTAAACTATAGATAATTATAGCTCGCATATTGTAATTGCTATGGGGTACGTTCAACTTCAAAGGTCTGAGGGACCAAGCTCTATTGCTTTGTCAGTTATTTGTCAAGACCTTTTTTTTAAATCAATTATATATTTTTTGGCAGGTAAGGCAATGCGTAAATATGTATTTCAATTGTGTGTTTAACAGTTTTCCTACACTTACACAATGATATTGGTCCTTAATTGACCTAATATGTGATGCGTTTAAACATTTGCCATCTCAATGCTGTATGTATAGTTTTAATGACTTCAGATATTTGGGTTATACATTTTTCATAGATCAGTAGAACATCTTTAGGTTCTCTATACACCATCTGTCTATGTTGGCCAGGTTGTAGCCCTAAGACTAAGAAGTTAGTCCATCCTGTGACATGCTATACAGAAAGTCCTGTAGCCCCATTCTGGTGAGGAAAATTGCTGATGGCTGTCTGCCTGCTGTCATTAGCTTTTTCTGTAGTGGACTTTTGGTTATCTTGAAGGAGAGAAAAGATAGTTTAGATTGACCTTGCTTCTCCCAGTGGTAGCAGATCACTGTAACAATGGCTTCTTTTCCTGACCTAAACCAGACCCATTCTAAAGAAAGATAAAAATATGTAATTTATATTAAAAAAATTATAATATTTCCTTTGCAGTTAAATCAGTCTCTATCTTGCTTTACCGTTAATAAGATGCACTGATTTGTTTTTGCTACATGCATCATCAAATGGCCAATAAAGCTTTGGTGAATTTAAAGTGGTACTTAGGCTGCGTTCACACCTGACCGTTTTGTAGGGCGTTCTACGCTCGACGAACGCTCTACAAAACGGTCAAAAATATAAATTGCATTGTAGTCAATGCCCTCGTTCCCACCTCGCCGTATTTCCGCCCGTCCCTAACGCCCTACAAAACGGCCCACGCCTGAAAAGGTCC